CATTGCCATACATAGAAAATAAAAGCAACATACTTCACAGTCTCCTGCATTGAAATGTAGGTTAGTATTGGGACACCCCTCCTAAGTATAAATATACTAATTATTTAATTATATATACCTGATTCAGGTAGTCTGATGGATGGGTCCCTTAGTTCCAGTAAAGGGAAATCTTAATGCTTCAGCATAACAAGACATTTTGGATGGTTGTATGCTTCCAACTTTGTGGGAACAGTTTGGAGAAGGCCCTTGACTGTGCCCCTGTGCACAAAGTAAGGTCCATAAAGTGGCTGGGTGAGTTAAGTGCGGAAGAACTTGACTGGCCTGCACAAAGCCCTGACCTCAACCCCGTCTAACACTTTTAGGATGAGCTAGAATGGAGACTGTGAGCCAGGTCCTCTCGTCCAACATCTGTATCTGACCTCATAAATGCTCTTCTAGATGAATGGGCAAAAATTCACACAGACACTCTCCAAAACCTTTGTATAAAGCTTCCCAGAAGAGTGGAAGCAGTTATAGCTGCAAATGGGTACCAACTTCATATTAATGCCTATGGATTTAGAATGGGATGTCATGAAAGCTCATGTAGATGTAATGTGTAGGTGTCCCAATACTTCGGTCATATAGTGTATATGTGTATATATGTATATAGCATTATGGCTAAACTATAATATATATATAGTTCAATTTAAAACAGCCAAGTTAACGTTGTTTTTATTTTATTCTAATAAGAGAATGGTTTGCTCTTGTAACTGTGTAGAAATGAAATTATTTGTAATACCTTTTGAAAAAAGGAGACGATCAGAAAATGATTAAATGTGACATAACTGGTCAGCTTTTGATAACTAATTTAAAAACTGTACAAAGAAAATTCCCACAGCTGGCATGACCACTCCTAAAGCATGTCCATAATTTAATACACTCAACTGATGTTCATGACTTTACCTAGCACTCTTATTTTGTCAGTGATACCTGAGTACCCCTGGAGACAAAGTTTTTAACTGCAGTTTAGCGGTCACCTCTGATTCAGAGGAGCATTTGCTTGCTATGGAGGATGGCACGTGTGCAAGAATCCTGCTGGTCATATATTCTGTCTGGCATCTCTGAGGCCTTTCTCTGTTTTATGTAATTAACACCTTTGACACTGAGCAGTGGTCTCCTTTCAATAAGGACAGGTCAAACCCATGAAAAATGCCCTGCCTTTAGGAGGGGAACAAATGGTTTGTCAGAAAGTTGGCGAGGTGTGCACACCGCTGTAGAGAGGAAAGAGACCAGGCAGAAATTTACTGGTGTCATCTTTAAATCTCAAGTTTGTGTGTGTCTGTGTTTGTTTGTAGAAAAAAAAATTCCCAAACACTCCAGCTTCATGCGCATAAATAGACACAATGTTCCAGAATCAGAATCAGGGGCCAGATTCAGAAAAGTGTCTTAAGAAAGAAAAAATCTCATCTTTTGAGCAAATTAACATAAATGACGGAAATAACAGTTAATACAAATTCAAACTGTATCTCGCGTCGTTTATGGTACATGGCAAATGCAACTAAGCCAACATAAGAAATCAATGAAGATTTTCTTAAGAAAATAATTAAGATTATCTTTTTACAGTTATAGTTTTTTTTTCAAGAATTGCATTTAAGAACCTTCTTATGAACTTCTTAGTGTTAGTCTTAAGAACCTTCGCAATTTTTTATTTTAAGAAAGCTTAAGAGGGCCAGAGTCATGAAAGTGTCTTAAGAAAGAAAATCTTCTTAAATATGTGTTATGAAAAATTGTTATTTTTCATATAACTTCTTAAAAATTCTCTTAGTTTTTTTTCTTAACTTTTTTTTCCTAAGAATAGTTCTAAGAACAAGCAGTATTCTTGAAAACCTTATGCTCTTAAATGTGATCTTCATCTTACGATAGACTCACACTTGTCTCAGGCCATAAGAGTTGATGAGGTGAGCATCTAAACTGATCAAACTCAGACACTGCCTACATTCTTTATTATTATTTATTTCTTCCATTTTGCTCCATTATGGTAAACTGTAAAATGCACCATAAAATGGAAAACAGTGAAGATTTTCTTAAGGAACTAATTAAGATCTTAAGAGAATATTTGCAAACTTCTTATATTTTTTTGAGAATTGCATTTAAGAACATTCTTACAAACTTCTTATTGTTTGTCTTAAGAACCTTTTTTTCTTGAGAAAGCATTTGTGATGCTGGCCCCAGAATTGTATTCACTAAGTGCCAGATGTGCTAGTGTTAACATAAAATGAAATCCAATAAAATAAATATCAAAATAAAAAAAAAAATCACTACACAATCTGCAAGTAATATACAAGCTGTGCAATGGGAGTTAAGTGTACTCACAATTAAGCACTAAAGTACACATAAACAGTATGTGTAGCTAATATAAATGCAAGTATAAGGATAAAATATGTGTATTGCAATAAATTCAAGTGCATATGTGAAGTAGAAAAGGTTCTAATTCAAAACAATTATGGCATGGGATATACAGTGGTTATGTACATTATAATATGTGTAATAAAGTGCATGTGCATCTGTTGAAAGCAAAGGGATGTGAGAAGGATCCTTGTTTAGGAGGATGACAGCCTGGGGAAAGAAGCTGGGGAGGTGATGGTTGGTCTAAGTCTTTAGGGATCTCACTCTTGGTCTCCACTGACATGGAAACAGCTGGAAGAGAGAGCAACCAGGGTGTGAGGGGTCAGCCATGAATTTCCCGGCCCTTATCCTCATCCTAGATGTGCAAAGGTATTCGAGGGTGGAGAGCCGACAGCCGGTGATTTTCTCTGCACATTGTTCCGTTGGCTGCAGCTTATGCTTGGTGTGTGAAGATGCAGAGCTGAACCAGACGGAGACGGAGGATGTGATGATGGATTCTATTATAGAAGTGTGGAACTGGACCAGCAGTGCTTGAGGCAGCCCAAATTTCTTGAGCTGTCGCAGAAGTAGCTCTGCTGGGCATTCTTTATAACTGCAGTACTGCGTCTGTCACATCTGAGGTCCTGCTGAATGGTGCTGCCAAGGAATTTGTTAGACTAGACTGTGGAGCCATGTATTTCCAGTAGAGGCAGTGGGGTGAGTTTCTTTGGAAATCACTGGTCATCTCCACAGTCTTTTGTGTGTTTAACTTCAGGTTCGTAGCTCCACATCAAGACACCAGGCGTTTTTTTCCTCTGGTACGTGTCTTCATCGCTGTTTGAGATGAAACTGACCAGAGTAGTGTCATCTGCAAACTTAATAAGTTTAACAGAGTCACTGTGAGGAGCACAGTCATTGGTGTAGAGAGAGTAAAGCAGGGAAGAGAGCACACAGCCCTCTGGAGCACCAGTGCTGATGCAGAGAGGGACTGAAATGTGGTCACCCACCCTGGCATTCTGTTTCCTGTTGGACAAGAAGTTGTGGACCCAGTGGCAGACAGCTGTCGGGACATTGAGCTGCCTCAGTGTATCTAGTAGAAGGTCAGGAAAGATGGTGTTGAAAGCAGAGCTAAAGTCTACAACCAGCACATGGGCATAAGTGTTTTACAGGTGAACAGATCCATACATCATTCACTTAAGCTGAATATTTTTGTTTACATCTCAATAACTGAGTTTTGAAATTGAAATGCTCCTCGCTCAATCCAAATAATGAACTTCAACATTGGGTTTACAGAGTACGTTGATTAAAATATAATAAGTAAAAATAAGAATGAGCAAAAAACAAGAATATTCATAAAAATGATGATAAGAATAAAAGAAAATGCTGAGATAAAAGTAATTTAAAACCATTGAACCATTGAATGCTGAGATAAGTATTTATAAAACCATTCATAAAAGTAATTAAAAGATAAGAACAAACAAGCAAACCTGACAGGAACACTATTCATTAAATACTTAAGCAAATAAACATGACTTAAGTTGCTTTTAAATATTGAGGGTGCCTGACAGACCTTAGCAGAAAGTGAATTCCACATCCTGGGATTGTAGAAACTAAAGGCAGCTTCTCCACTTTTATTCAGTCTATAACAGAGAAGCCTGCAAGAAAGAAGCATTCATGAAAAGTGAATATGAGTAAAGTTGTTCAGGGGCTGTGTTAATACAGAGGTGCTAGACCAGAGTCTTCAAACTAACAGCGAAAGAAGGGGTCTCTTCAAACAAGCCCAGATATAGTCATTTACAATGTAAGTAGATGGGATGAAATCTTTGGAGTTGTTTTATTTATTTATTTATTTATTTGTTTTTGTTTGTTTGTTTTCATTTGTTTTTAAAAACATAAACCATTACCAAGAGTAATGGAAATTATTCATAAATAAATAAATTAGTTTTTCAACATCTGTAACCCCCCAAACTCTCTTATTTGAATGCTGGTCTTAAATACTAATAAATACTAAACTCAGATACTGGCTGGGTTTTATTATAGGAGGAGAAAACAGAAGTTTTCTGAAAGCCATTCTTACAGTCGCAGAGGTCTAAACCATGTCTTTGAGCTTTTTTTCACATTAATAGAACACGTGGAACCTTTGACACTGTGCAATTCCTAGTTTACAAGTCAAAACAGGACAATCAACAATCCAGCACAGAATATTCTGTTATAATTTACTGCTGAAAGATGTGAATGAGAGAAAATATTGCCCAAAACTATTATTTTCTTCTATTCTGTGACTTTCTGTGATGTGACCTCATTGTGAAACTATTTTTAGAGTATTCCCCTGATCAAACAGCAGATAAGAAAGCAAAAACAGATAAGAGATAATAAACATGCTGCTCATACTGTAAAAATGCTCATAAGATGCTGGATCCCAAACAAATATGCAGAAGAATACATACACATTGACTGATGATATGTAACATCAGCAACATTAATGTTGTGAAATTAGTATGTAAACATTAAGTTAAGGTTGTCAGGTTTCTTTTTTACTGCCTATTCTTGTACTATTTGTGCTTATAAAAGATAAATGATAAACGTTCATTCTAATATCACTCATCATTTAATGCCTCTCTTTTTCTATTTTGCAGGAAATGTGTGCATCTCACAGACAGTTAAGATCCCTCGTGAGCCAAGAGTAGGAGAGTTTGACAAGATAATCCGTAACCTGGGTGAAAACCCCAATGCCAGGGTGGTTATTATTTTTGCGAATGAAGACGATATAAGGTGAGTACTATAAGCTACAAAAAGTCAGCAACCTAGGTTTCTAAATGGAGGAATTGGATAAAAAGGTTGTGTCCTATTGCCAGTACCCAAGTTCTGATTCCTAGCGATGCTGCAGCCAAATCGGCCAGAGCCTAATCAGCCCTGCTGCTCTCTGGGTGAAGGGTGGTCCTGTAAACCACCCTACAAAAGCAAAGAGCAGTAACTACGCTAGCAGTGAAACAGAGAAACACAGCTTCAAATTTATGTTGTTCTCCAGCCAAATGTATTAATTCAATTGCAATTTTCACTCTGTTTCTTTGAAACAAAGCATATTTGAACTTTTATCACAAGATACAGCTGATCATCAGACTTCTGATTTCAGTTATAATTCATAATTGACCCACCCTGCTGTTAACACTTTTTGCCATTTTTAGATCAGTAACTAATCATTCGTGTATGTTTATGTGTACAGAATTGAGCAGTCAGTGCTCTCCTCCAAGCTGAATTCACTGTTTAGTGTAAAGCATTTAAAAACACGTGCTAATTTTTGGTGGAATGTGCAGGATTAATGATTGATCTGTTGTGACATTGTGCCAGAGCACTGCCGAAACCACTTTCAAAGCCCAACATGGCTTTTGTATTTTTGTGGTCATAATAGCTCTGAGTGATGCTTGCGTCTCCAACCAGAGGCGTATGAATCCTTTTACTCTCTGTGACTAACGCACATATCTCAGACAGTATGGTAATGCATTTCATTGTCGTTATTTCACTGTCATTATTAAACTGTCCATGGGACACTAATTTGCTGTCATTCTGTATATCATCATATAAGTGTATGAACAATTAGGGTTTGGTGTGTAATTGATATGTTTCAGTGTTTGAAAGCAGAAATTGTACTGGGCATTGTACACACTGCATACATTAAACATATCATGTTTCATGAGCTGTAGTGTTTAACTGTGAATTTGTGTCTCCCTCTATTTCTTTTAAGGCGACTCCTGCAGGCAGCAAAGAAAGCCAATCAAACAGGCCATTTCATCTGGGTGGGATCAGACAGCTGGGGCTCGAAGATCTCTCCTGTGCTGCATCAGGAGGAGATGGCTGAGGGGGCGATCACCATCCTGCCCAAACGGCAGTCCATCAAAGGTAAAGAGGAGATTAGATGATCTGGTTGGCTCCTTCTAATTCAAATTAAAATCAAACACCAGCTGATATTCAACCTGTTACATGTACAGTACTGTGCAAAAGTTGGTCCCTTCATTTCATTTAATTTCTGGTCAAAACAGCCTTTAGTTGTTCAGGAGATATTTGCGAGGAAATGTGACTCCTAAAACCCATACAAGATCTGGTACACTACCAAAAATACCACCAACAGTACATAAAGTTTTCGTCTTTGAGAGAGAGGAGAAAATAAAGCTCAATACTTGCTTCAGATCAGAAAAATCTACAGGTGTCTCTGTCCATCCTTCCACTGTGAAAAGACAGCTTAACGTGATGAGTCTGAAAGGATGTGTAGCTGTCAAGAAGCCCTTACTAAGAAAAGGAAACAGACAAAAAGGGAGAAAACTGGCAAATAAAGAACAAAGCTGCCTGTGGTCTTACCAGCCATCCACTGGCCACCCCAGAACCCTGTCCTCAACATGATTGCATGTGCTTTGGATTATTTGGATCATGAGAATCAGAAAATGTCACCTGAACTTTGGTGGTGTGGAACAATATCCCTGTAGATTTCTATGAAAAACTGGAGGCAAGTCTTTCACAAAGAACAGAAGCTGTAATAAAAGGAAAAAAAGGTAAAATTCTGTTTTTTTTTAACCTGACTTTGAAAAATGAATAACTTGTGGCAATTTTGACTGCAAATTAAAGAAATGAAGGGTAGTCTCTGACTTCTGCACAGCACTGTATAAAGGTTAAACATATTGTCCTCAAAGAATTGTCTGAAACCAATTAAGGGATTAACACTTACCCATGTGCTGTCTAAAGTTTTATTGACTACACGCTTTGACACTCCTTTCACCTGTCTGATCTTAGGGTTTGATAATTATTTCATCGGTCGAACTCTGGAGAACAACCGGAGGAATGTCTGGTTTGCTGAATTCTGGGAGAACAATTTCAACTGCAAGCTCAACCGCCACGCCTTCAAGAAAGGGTCTGGCGTTAAGAAATGCACAAGTAAGATATTTTGAATTGGCAAAGTGCAATAATGCAAAACTCTGAGAGAGAAAGACTGAGAAAGAGTAATGCATAATAATACACAAAGGCATGTGCCAACTCTATACTGAATGACCGGGCCCAGTGTTCTGATCATCTGAGCTTTTGTTTACACCTGAGGCTAATTAGTCATATGTCCACAGCACTGTCTCCTATCTGAATTCCTCTAATGCTGAGCAGCAGAACCTATCCGATTGCAGTTATTGAAGAAGAAATAATGATGATCCCTAATTGATTCTACGTTGCCCTAAGAGGGCTTTGGCACTTAGCCATAGGTTCATCCATGGTCAGAGCTTGACCAGTTCACTGTGTGGAGAGCATATGGTTTCTAACAAGCCTCAGCCTCTCTAAGCTGGAATCTTATGATGAGACTGGGATTCTCAGAGGCAATTTTTTGCCAGTAGAGCTACAAAACCGAGTCTAATTCTTAGTATGGAGTCCCCCAGATATTAGTCGTGTTTACTGCATGGACCTAGAGTTCAGGATAATTTGATCTGCAGCCCAGAAGAACGTTTTACAGATGATGATGGGAATCAGATCATGTTACAGGTATTAGTGTTTGCAGTAAACTCAAGGTTTGAATAATGTAATCACTTAAAGATTGTAATAATAGATTATTCTGAGACCAGTATGTTTAGGCTACCTTTTTTTGTTGCCTAAACTGCAATAGCCTGCAGTTTCTGGCATGAGAAAGATCCATTGTTACATTGCAATCAAATTATTCACCTAGTTATATAACCTAATTACTGGGCTGACTGGGAACATATTATTGTTACCTCCACTGAAAATCTTGAATTTTCAGAGTGCACTTCATTAATTAGGCCGTAATACAATAGGTGATTGTGCTTGGAAAAGAGGTAATGTGGAAGCTATGGAACTTCTTTGTTTTTCTGGAGAGTTGAATGTGCACATTACCAGCCCTGTAGTAACCACTGCTGAGTATGCCATGGCTTTCCATTAGATTTATTACATTTGTTGGTTGTTAGGTGTAATTTGGTCTTGCCTGCATTCAGTGCAGATGCCTCTGGGATGGAGTGAAAAAACAGAAAGTGCCATTTCTTCACTGCATGCAGCGAACAGTCTGACATACATGCATATGCAGGCTGAATGTGTTCCACGATTTAGTGAAAATTGCTTGCCTTTTATACTGTGGTTTATAAACAGTGCTACTGCCATAGTAGGAGAAATACAGCTAGCACTAGTGGGTGAAAATAATGGCCAGTCTTGTTGAAATGCATTGCAATGACAACTGCCTCACATTTTCTAAGAGCGCTATCTCTAAGGGATGAGGTATTTACAGGAGAATACTGATGCAGAACTAGAATCCACTGCCTACAGCTCAGGAAAGCACTTAAGCTCACTGTAGAACGTGCAGTCTGCATTACAATGATTACCTATCATTCACAGCACGGCTGGCTGGATGTTTGCAAACAAAAGAGTTATGGCGTGTGGCATATTTTACTGTGAGATTTAGCTTATTGCAAGCTAGAGTAGTTTGCTTGTTTCATCTTGTTTATTTTTTAATGTACAGGAGTGCATTTAGTTATAATAAATTATATATAATTATAAATTATAAGCGAATTTGTAGTCTTTATTTATTTTGGCGATATTCCTTTTAGTTACAAAATCTCAAGGTGCTTTACACAAAAAGATCAGGAAAACATTATATAATATGCTTTCAGTAAAATAACAGCAATTTCAAAATACAGAAGAAAAAAGAGATGCAAATATGGGTCTGCAAATATGATTTTAGGCTGAATTTTTCTTTTTAAAAAAGCATCTAAAACAAAACATACGTTTTGTCAGAGTATTTATACATATACTATTATCAGTTATGGAGGCTGGAGTGCTCATGTAAGGAGGCTCTGTGATGTTCCTGCGTTTCTCTGAGATTCAGCAGCGTTAGCCAGCAGAGAGCAACATCAATGCTGTGATTTTCCAGCCCGCACAAAAGCCCTGTGGTTACTGGAGGATTAAAGGGCTGGAAACCTCTGCATTAAACTGGCTCTGTTTCTCCGTTTGCACCGTGAACATTCTGCCCTGCTTGTATCAGGCCTGAACAACCCTGCGAGTCCCCAAGCAGAGAGCAGCTTTAGGGCTTTGTCATTGTGCTTTTCATTTATATAAAGTCATTCCATGGCAATGGATGAAATTCAGGTTGTGATTTATGGGAGTTGCTTGGCTGTAGTTATAACTCATCTTTTGAGCCTCACGAAAAAGACAGTGCACACAAAGTAGCTCTATAAGATTACATAAGTATTTGTGTTTATTGGAGTGCTTCCCAATACGGAATAAAGCCAATTCCAATAAAACTGTCTGAAGGTATGTATTATTGTATTACCTTGCCTAAAAAGATTACATCTAGGTCAGAGACAAAACCCTCCAAGCTATCTACGCTGGAATTATTTTTAAAAGAACAATTACCTTTTCATAACTGAGCGGATTTAATGGTTTAAGACTCAAAGTAATGCACAGGGTGTCTGAAGCAGTCAACGTTCTCTCTGAATTGATTATGATGGTTCTGTCCATTCTGATTGCTTTTCCTCTCCAGCCAAAAGTTAATGGATTGCTGCCTTAAATTCATTTGGAAAGAGGCTCAACCACTGACAGTGCAATGTAATTCAAATGTTGATGAAAGTGCATTTTGAAACACCCTTTTAGAGGAGATTATCTTTTGACACAAACATGACAAGCCCAATTATACCATGCTTTGTCAGTGTAATCTATACATCCCATATGCATTACCAAAGATATTTTGATTGAATTTCTTAATTGTTGGTTATTGAGTCATTGTTAGTATTAGTGTTGACTTCTTTGATGATTCTTGCCGTTTCAAAGAAACATTGACAGGTTTATTTGGTAATTGCTGTTGTTGTCTGTGTTGTCTGGTAGCAAACTGAACTGAAGGAAATGATGTCACAGTTGGACTGTATCAGGCACAGCAGTGTTACTGGGAATTGGAAATCTTTATGTATTGTCCGTCAGTACCAATACATATTCTCAAATTAAACACATTATCAGAGAGGGTCTCTGAGCTAGCTGAGCATTTTTACATAAAGGTAGGAGCAGTGGGTGGATCAAGAAGTGAAACATGATATTATTTGTTAATATTATTTTTCCTTGCCAGCTGCTACATGGTGATGTAATCAAAAATGTTTTCAAAGATGTTTTTAGAAGGAGGAAAAAGTTATCAAATGTTGATGGAAGATTACAGGAAAACAAGTATTTTGTCATTTCATTCATATGATAAATTATGCTTGATATGACCAGGGACATCTAACTAAAAAGATTAAAAATATTGGTTTTGGGGCACTATATGAATGTACCATTATTATTATTATTGTTATTATTAGTAGTATTATTATTATTATCATTTGATTTCAGGTTGACTTTAAAGGCACGTACACTTACAAGCCACTTTATTAGATACACACAGAGGGTTCAACATTGCCTATTGCCCTAACCTGAGTGGCCACTTGCCTTGGAGATTTTTTTCTTTTTAAATAAACCACCAGACCAGCTCATTTCCACACTTTATGAGATTTTTTGTCATTAACATGAACATTTTTGTATTTCAAGAAAAATATTTTAATTTTATGTACAACCTGTGTTTGTGTTTTTGAGTTCCGCTCAAAATTAGCTAAAATTGTCACTACAGTACAGAAACAGTCACTTAAAAATTTTGTAAAGTTTTGGTGGTATTGTGATTGCTTTCATGGTGACAAAATGGTATGTTAATTTATCATTTATTTTAATAAACATATTTAATGTCTAGGGTCATTCAAAGCAAAAGCATTTTAGTCTAAATTCCAAGTCAGTTAAAAGTCTGAAATGGGTTGTGTATAATTATTTCATTGGTCGAACTCTGGAGAACAACCGGAGGAACGTCTGGTTTGCTGAATTCTGGGAGAACAATTTCAGCTGCAAGTTCAACCGCCACACCTTCAAGAAGGGGTCTGGCGTTAAGAAATGCACAAGTAAGATATTTTGAATTGGCAAAGTGCAATAATGCAAAACTAACCGAAAGAGAATAATTCATAATAATACACAAAGGCATGTGCCAACTCTATACTGAATGACTGGGCCCAGTTTTCTGATCATCTGAGCTTTTGTTTACACCTGAGGCTAATTAGTCATGTGTCCACAAAAAGTCCAAAATGGGTTGTGAACTTTGACATTAAACCAATTTGCTATAACATATATACACACATCTTGGAATGAAACAAATCGAAAACTGCGGCACACTGCAGTATGACAGAATCCTTTGGAGCTTTTCTTGGCACAGAGTCAGAGCCGTTAGTCCCAAGGGGAGTCGAGCCTTCAGAGGAAGCAAGCTCGGCTCTTTACAACCCATGAGTGGTAAGAGGTGCAGAGGGTCAGGAGTGTGGTACTCAGTCACAGCCTCTACCTCTGACACCAGCGGGCCCCAGAAAAACCCCTCTGTGATGCCTCTTTTAATGTGAATGGATTTCTCCAAGGGCTGAAAGCTAGCTAGTGGAGTGTGTGTGGGCGTGCTCTGACTTGGGATGAGAACTGTGCGTATATTTGTGGAGATGGCAAGACAAAGATGTGTGCTTGAGGAGTGTGTGTGTGTGTGTGTGTGTGTGTGTGTGTATTAAAACAAAGTGGAGTGTGTGGGCTGACCGTCCTCCCTCTGTTATCACTATAGCTATTGCTTCCACTCAACTCTGTAGTTACTCTAAACCACTCCAAAAATGGCAGTTTGCTTTTTATCTCCAGCACAGTTGGTGGCAAATGAGTACACATGTTCATGTGATACAACAGCTGCTTTAATGTGTTCAGTTATTTTATTATTTATTTCAAAGATAAGACAGTGAAAGATGTAGGGTGAGGTGTTAAAAAACAAACATAAATAAAAAGCAAACAAGAAAAGAGCAAATAATAGAAAAGAGTTCACAAAGTAGTGCATAAAACTATAATTCACAAAGGTTCCTAAATAGTTCTTGGCCTACATGTATGGTTCTGGGAAAAGCATTTAAGTGGTAAGTGGTATACAACCTTTACATTATGTGGAGGCTTTAAAAAGTTTCTTCAGACTTACACATCACATTTACAAAAAGAAAACTCCATTAAAATGTTCTTTGGGGAGCCAAAAATAGCCCTTCTGTGGCATCCTGTTTGGTACATTTATTTTTAGGAACTTAGTTTAGCAGATTTAGGAGGCAACAGTTGTGGCAGGTCACATTATATCTCTACCAGTGGTACTGGATATTGAACCTGTGCATAAACAGTCCATGAGAAAGTAACCACTGACAATGATCAAATTTCTCTTCAATTCCTGTATTCCTGTACACTAAACAGGCATGATTTCCCATAACATCATTGCAGCTCATTTCTAGAGCTAACATTAGGCCTACTTGGAACATTTGCTCAGTCAGCTGTATGTTATTCAACATTACTGTGCTGTCAGGAAATCATGTACAGTGAACTTAGATATCAAAATAAAGGAGCTTTTCATTTACACAGTTATTATTAAAATTGTTAGCTACTGTGCTTACAACAGTCAGTTTTCAAACTTCTAATGTGGCTGAGACATGTATAAACAATTTAAAATAAAGTTTTGAATCAGGAAACAGAAGACATAAGTTCAAAATCTTCAACTGAACAACTTTTATGGGTTTTAAACTCTTTGGGTTTCAAGCCAAAAGTTATGTTTGCCCATGCTCTGATGGCTTTGATGATGGTGTAGACCTTATGAGTAACTCTGAAGTGAGTGATGTATGTTTCAACTTGCTAAAACTGGATATTAGATCAGAGGCTTCGCATTTCAGAGGAGGCGATATCGTATTTCAAACATTAATACCTCAGTTGGGGCAGTAAGTAGAGAAAGTTCATGCATCAAAAAACAAATAGTGTATGCGCACACATAGTCACTGATTCTTGTTAGAAATTAAGGGCTACAGTCATTTTGATGGTCACATACAAGAGCAAATTAAAATAAGGCAGCTAAAGTCAATAATACTGAATATCAGTGGAGTATATGAAAAGCTTTATGCTGGTCAACAACTGCATTATAGTTGAAAAGTATACAGCATGATCTACAACAAAGCACCACTTTAGCCAATACGTGAACATAATTATACATGTTTGTTAATTGGAGACTCCTGTTACTTACTTGTCATGCTACACAGCAAATAATTGTTTAAACTGTGTAAAAAATTTGATGTGGATATGTCAGGTGTGCTCTGGATGTGCTCTGTGCCTTTGGTTTCTATATTTCAAACAGCATATTAATCATTCTGAGACATCACACCACACTGCACATTCAAACATGTCATTAGCTTAATTTTGGGTTAATGAGGACATAGAGTGGTTCCGTTTTCAGTACAGAAACATCCTAACTCCTCTAACTTTTTTAGTCTCCATGACAGTTGACTGAATTTAGGAAAATAGCTATTATAGAATAACAGTTCTTAACTTCACAATCTTATCCTAACTCCAGATAAGAAAACAGTCTTCTAGAAACATCCTAACTGGACAAAATAAACACAATTTCCTAAATACTATCCTAACTTTCAGACAGCATGTCCAAACTTCTGTTTAACCTCTCATTTCCATTGTTTGCCAATCTATTGAAAATACAATGATTTTGTTTTTAGGCAGATGTGATAGACAGTGTAACATATTGCAAAATGATGGTTTCACTTGTGAGAAAGAGGTTTTTGTTTTTTTTTTGTTTTTTTTTTAACCTGCATGTTATTGTTGGTGAATACTTGTCTAATAAAACACTGCGGAGATAGTGGTGAATAATGAGGAGACTGAAGTGACGTGTGTTTGTTAGGAGGAATAACATTAGCATGGCTTGCTGGCTGAAGCTTTGGGAAATGGACACTGACACTAGGAGCGACATGCTCCATTGAACAGAACAGGATTCTGTCACAATAATAACTTTTTATTAATGTTTTCTAACTTCCAGTTAATCACACTTTAGTGTTATTTTGAAATTTTTTTACACAGATAGCTGTCTAGCTAACTTACTTAACCTAACTACATTCTTTATGTTATTTTGATTACCTGTTTATGTTTCAGGTGATTTCTGGTTGCTTAGTAACAGATATGACAGTTTATTATCAACCTCAATCACATAGTTTAGGATGTCCTTAAGATAAGATCCTGTGAGATATGTCTCCTTAATTAAGATAGGATATGTTTCTGTAATACAAATTTGTGTAAAATCTTATCTTGACCTTGTCTGATCTTAATTTAAGCGAAAGACAAGAGAAGTTTCTGTAATACGGCCCAGGACTTGATTTAAAGGGGGGATGAAAGGGCAAAATCATCTCTCGGTCAAAACAATATCAAAAGTCATCCCCTGCGCGTAAATTGCTGTTGCTCCTCTGTATCCCCTATAGACTAATAGATTATTGTTGTCTATGCATTCTAATCACAGTATAAAATGAAAAGGTGTTTTTCCTGTGCTAAAATAGTATAAAACAAACAGCCACCTGTGTAAGTTGCTGTTTGTCCTCTGTGTGCCACCAAAACAGCTCCAACCCGCCAAGGAATGGACTCAACAAGACCTCTGAAGGTGTCCTGTGGTAACTGGCACCAAGACATTCCTGTGATTTGCAAAGTAAAGTTGCTGCAGATCAGACTTATTGTTCCAGCACATCCCACAGATGCTTGATCACATTGAGTTCTGGGGAATTTGGAGACCAGAGCAACACCTTGAACTTTTCGTCATGTTCTTTAGAGCATTCCTCAACAATGCGTGCCGTGTGGCAGTGTGTGCACTTCCCAGCGCACATGTACCTGGACTCCACGTGATGTCAAAGAAAATGGGACTCATTGGACCGGATGATCTTCCATTGCTCCAAGTTCCAGTTCCAAGGCTTGCATGCCGAACGTAGGCACTTTTGGCAGTGGACATGGGTCCACTCAGACCAGTCTGTGGCTACAAAGCCCCATAGGAAGCAGAGTGAGATAACCTGAGTTCTGTGACATGTTCCTCATGTGACAATCATTGAAGATTTCTGTGACATGCACAACAGTAGCCCTTCTGTTGGTTCAGTCCAGACAAGATAGCCTTCATTGGCTTTGCACATCGATAAGCCTTGGGTGCCCAACAACCTGTCATGGTTTGGTCCCTCCTTGGACCACTGTTTGTAGGTACTCGCCGCTGCTGACTGGGAGCACCCCATGAGCCTTGCCGTTTTGGAGATTCTGACCCAGCCATCTGGCCATAACAATCTAGCCCACATCCAAAAGGTTTGCTTAGCATCTAAACTATGAGTGGTCAAAATGTTTTGGCTCATCGGTGTATATGTACAGCCACCATCCAAAACGAATGTGGTTGACACTGCATGTTGACTGTGAATGTGAATTGTATTATATAAGGCAGTGCTCAGACCTCTTACATCCTTGGTTTTCTGGTCAATTTCATTTGTAAGTTTGGCTTTTGTCTAATATGTGGAAAAAGACCAAATTGCCACAGTCCATTTCAAGCTTTGTTCTCAAAAGTCTTGCTTGCAATTGAGTCCTGTCTCTTTGACATATACCAGCTCTCTCCTAGTTTGCCTAGGCACAGTCATAATTGAAGCCGGTCCTTTGCAATTAAGATCTTATAAAAAAAAAACGTAGAGCAAATCCAGCTCTAATGAATATACAGCTGTCTGGCACAATTATAGGAGCATGGAGAGATAATTAATCTTGCTCGCTCTCTCACTGTCTATTATTTCACCCTTATGCATTAGCACACATCTTCCATTCATCAGCCAGGGCATGAAGAACAAGAATGGGGGGGGTCAGGCACCTAATAGTTTTAAGGAGGCCCTTTTATTTGTTGTCTTTTTTTAATTTTTGTTTTCTGTTTATCAGATACTTCAACATAGTTTTAATCAATGTAAAAATGATTCGACGTCCTCTGGAAATTATATTTAGTGTTTACAATATCCAGTGGAGAGGATAATAAAAGCATCAATTTGTTTTTTATTAGACTGAAAATATTTTTGTCATGATAGGAGGTGCTTAGTGCTTTATCTGGAATTAGGATGTTCATGTTGGAAAATTTTTCTGGATCTTTCATCTTTTTGAGGTTTAATGGCACAATACATCAGAGATGAGCAACAAAGAAAAACATCAGCAAAAATACAAATAAATAAATAATCATGTTATCAGCGTGATACTACTAATAGGCTCTAAAACTCTATGAAAAGGAAATGGGGTTGTATACTACAACCCCATTATGTATGAATTTTATTCAAAGTGATTGCAAGCTTGTGTTTTCAAACTTACACAGCAGCTTATTTAATAAATCAATTTATTATGTATTATTTCATACATTAAGCAATTCCAATAGCCTTAACACTTAAGGATTTTATTAAAGCAATTATTCTTATTGTATTAGTTCTTCATGATGACTCTGCTTCCGACTTTTTCTTTTTTTACTATATAACCGAATAAAGACTCGTGTAGTCATCCTCTAGTAATTACGGTAAATTAGTCTATTCACTCTGCACCAACAGCTGAATTTTGTGCAGGGTCCACCAAAAGAGCAAATTGGTCAGTTCACAAAGAGGTCTTTCTCTTTGATCTCAGAGTTAGTTAGATCATAATTATCTGTACTTTGCTTTTTTGGCCATGTCTTTTTATTGACCAGGGATGTTTGCAAATGAAAATTGTCTGTGAAGTATGAAAGGAAATTCTCTGGTAATGTTTTGACATTATATTACAGAACAAGCACTGAATGTTAGCTGTTCTCTGATGCCTTTCAGATCAAGAGCGGATTGGGAAAGAGTCAGCATATGAGCAGGAGGGCAAGGTGATGTTTGTGATCAACGCTGTTTACGCCATGGCCCATGCACTCCATAACATGCACAAAGACCTGTGTCCTGGCAAGGTGGGACTGTGCTCCAAAATGGATCCTGTTGATGGAACCCTCCTGCTAAAGTACATCCGCAAAGTCAACATCACAGGTTAGCATCTCTTTTAACTTATATCACCCTATTTCTTTACAAAATATCTGTAGCCGAAACACTGAAGATGATAGGTTTGGTTAGTAATGTTTGGCCTGGGTGTGTTTTGAGTTTTAAGGAGTATTAATAGAGCACATACACAAAGAAGGCATATTTGAAAAGTGGCCCACAGATCTTCCTTTTTATATATTCCCTCCAGATGTAAATTGTCAACAGACGGCTGAGCAAATAAAAGAATATTACAAAGATTAGCTGCGGGGATGGGTTTGAATTGTGTGGGAACCGAAAAATCCCTGAAGGACAACAGACTGCTTTTCAGTGTTGAAAAAAGTGTTGAAAATGTGCAAAACATATCCAAACCCTCAGAAGGCTCTTTCCCAGCCACTGCTGTCTCAGTTAATGCAGGTTTCAATGAGCTAACAAACACTTTGAATGGCTTAATCCTCCTCCTTCAATGACAGCAAAAATTAAAAGCTTTGCTAAGAATTTTAATGTCTTCTTCACTGAAAAATAGAAACACTGAAGCAGATCCCAAAATATGACAACCTCTATATTGACTTAATAGCCCACATGATGAGATTTAATTTTTTCCCTGAGGTCCACTTATGAACACTTGTGTGGGTTTATGTACCAAAAACAGTTACAATTCATTTTAACATTCCAGTCTTGCTTTCTTCCTTAGAATTAAATAAGCTGTTCTTGTTACTATGTCTTTAACACGGATATACACAACTGTGCAAAATCAGACACCATAATTTCATTTCTTTCATTAATCAAAAAAAAGAAGCAAACGTATTTAACAGAAATTTACACAGAGGCATCAACAACTAAATATAATATAGATCTAAATATAGATTTTTTCAGTTTTGTGTTAGGGTGTCACAATATGCATGCTAATATGGTGTCCACCTATAACCCCCTCTGACTCATTTCAGCCAGAATGTAAGAGCCAAATTTTACACATAAATGCAAAATTACGTTGTAAATGAATTTGTGAAGCTCAGTTCTTTTAATATTGAGATGTAGCCTTATAGTGTATATATTTTTTGTTTATTTTTGTATGCTTATTGCACTTCTGCTTATATTCTGTTTTATTTATTTTATGTCTTCTAAGAAAATGACTTGTGCCAGTTATCTTTCCATCAAGCACTATTGTCTTTTTAGAGACAACAATGGAAATCCCCCAAACAAACAAACAAATAAATAAATAAATAAATACATACACACATACATACATACATACATACATACATACACACATACATACATACATAAATACATAAATAAATAAGAAAAATGTTTGCTGAATAATGCTGAAGTTATGTTAGCATAGCAGTTTTTCTAATTCTGTATCTAAAATCTTATCATGATGCAATAATAACAGTACATAAAATAAACATGGAATTTGCGTATCGTTACAGCCCCAGTACTTAGTTATGTCCACTGTTTGCATTTATTACAGCTTCCACTCTTCTTGGTAGACTTACTTTCAGTTTTTCAAAGTTCAAAGTTCAGTCTTAGAAGTTGGTTGCATTTTCTGCTCCTTAAAACTTCAACATGGATGGACGGTGCCAAACTGCTGTGGGCAAATGTACTGTACAGAAATGCATTTCTGACATCACAAAACAACGAATTCAAAATAGGCTGTTTTTGTACAAAGTTTTCCATGAAATGCCCTTTAAACTTATACATTAGCATCAGAAGACATGAATCTGCTTAGCACAGCACCACTGGATTTGAAAGTATTGGATTTTTATAGTTAGAATGATTTCATTCTGAGTAATTGACAGAAGCCTGTGTAGTTATATGCTCACACTGCACAGCGGTTCACAAAGGGCTCAGAGATTTCATATAGTTCGAGACCATTCTGTAGCTCCTTACCATCTGTGCTGTTCCACCTCCACCCACCCGCCCCCTTTTGAGTCTTCAAGTGAGCTTTATTAGAGACTTCAGTAGACTGAGCTTGTCGGTGCGTCTCAGTTTGCCCCTAAGCTTTTCCCTTTGCCACTCTGCTTCCATTTGTGCATTCTAGTGAAGGCTTGCAATCTTGGATTGTGTCCTAAACTATTAGCAGTGAGGAGGAGTGGCTCGTAAAGCCCTGTAGAGGCAAGCTCATGAAACTTACCTCTGACATTTATATCCCATAATTCTTTGCGACAGGGGCGGGCATCGAGTGCCACTTGCAGTGAAGTGGGAGTGGGCAAGGGGCACATTGAGACAGGCCCAGAATCAAGGGCCCCATCAGTTTTCTATCTGTGCAGCCTGTTGGAGGACACTCAGAGCGCCTAAAGCACAGACTTCATTTTCTTCCTTCTGTGTTTTCATTTATGTGCTGTGCTGTTATTATTACCATTTTTGACGTTTGTAACAATATAGCTCCTGTGGAATATTTTATTGAGAATGAAATAGAGCAATAAGCCTGTTCGCATTACATCTGAGAGGATTCATGGTTCACTGTTGTTTGGATAGATTCAGAGCTTTTACCCAGAACTGATCGAACTGTTCTTTATTTCAGCACTTAAACAGTGAATATCATAGAAAAACAAATTTTTCTTGCTTATTTGAAATAAAAGAGCTTGATGTAGATTGTGAACATTGTTAAAGTGTCATACATACTAAAACATACCATTCACTCCCCATTTCACACAGTCCATATTTTAAACTTAAGCTACCAAAACGTCCTGCTTTGAATTTACTGTTTTTGTGATATCATGAAAACCTAAACCTTTACATACATACTCCTATTTGGCCTATAGCAGTTTGGAGTTTTTGAGCATGGATTGCTTTTTGAATGAAGCAATATACACACAAACACACACATACACACACGCACACATTTTCTAAGCTGCTTATCCTACTGGGTTGCCGGGGGGTGCTGGAGCCTATCCCAGCAGTCATTGGGTGGAAGGCAGGATACACCCTGAAAAGGTCGCCAGTCCAATGCAGATGAAGCAATACGGAGCAGCTAATTAAAACAGTAGTCATTTACTTATGTCAGCCTTAAATGCAGAATAACAAAAACTGTCTGTTTAATTCTGAAGGATAAATAGAGGTTGGAAAATAGTTATATAAAAATGAATTGTGTGCATAAAACTACACAAATGTTATGCCTTTTGGAGGCTTTTAAAATATCTCTTCAAGTAGCATATATTATTTACTGTTGTTTTTAAAAGACCTGTCCATTAAAAGGTTCTTTAGGGGAACAGTAGTTTTTCAATGGAATCACTGAAATTAATCCTTTTTGATACCTTTATTTTCAAGAGCGTGGTTCTGAATATATTATCTGTGTTTACATCACCTTGTAAGTGCTTTTGTCATCAAGATGCTGCCAAATGTTTAAAATCTCATTCATTCATTCATACATTCATTCATTTCCATTTGCTGCTGTTCTCGCCTTCAAACGTTGGGCCAGATGCCATCAAACATTCAAGAGTTACAATAAGAACCACTTTATACTGTATTTAATGCTACAAAATGGGCTTTGATGCAACTGTAATATGCACTTACGATGTGCCTGAAATGAATGTTTAATTTAGTCATGCAGCACAGAGGACTGTCCACTGAATGTTTGACAGCCTAGTGATGTGCACGGTTACTGGAGTACTCGGTTAAGTTGCCAGGGTTCGAATACTGAAATCACTTTTTAAGTATTTGTTATGTTTTACCACTGGAAGGCAGATAAAATATACAGACCAACAATTCAGTGAAATTTTTTTTTGCGCCTGAATGTGAGCACATTGCCGAGGGTGAGCTGCTAAGGACGTGGCTGAGAAGTTAGCTAGGTCCAGCAACAGTGAAAATATATTTCTCTGACAAATAACATGTTGAAGCATTGTCCTCTGATGAGGAAGTATTTTGTGTAAATACAACAAGTCCTCATCAGCATCCAACGTGACACTGGTTTGCTCTGTTAGCTCATCAGCTTCTGAAGGGGCAGCCTCTGTTGCTAATCTAACATGAAAACCTTACAATTTTGTGATGTCAAAAATGCATATTACATATTTCCTTTTATTTAGCCTACAGCAGTTTTGCTCTGCCTATTCATGTTGAAGTAATAAGGAGCAGAAAATGCAACCAACTTCTAAGACTGAACTTTGGAGGTGTTTACAAGAAAGATATCCCTGCAGATTTCTTTGAAAACTGAAAGCAACCTTTTCAAAAAGAATAGATGCTGGAATAAAGGCAAAATGTGGACACATTAAAAACTTGAAAACTTTATATTATATTTAGTTGTTGAGGCTTCTGTGTAATTTTCTGTTAAATGTATTTTCTGCTTTTTTCCCTGATGCAGAAAAAAAAGATAACTTGAACACTTATGGATACTCAAATATCAAAATTAGTTAAAATTCACATCTCTACCCAATCTGTGTCCCCTGCCTGATTTGCACTATGCATGTGCACCTCTCTCAGGCATATATACATTTCACTACACCATATATACATTTCAGTACACCACTTGCCTTTGCTTTTATGGCATTATATTAACTTGATGAAACAAGTTTCATCAGATCTTCTCTAATATTAGCAAATTATGAACATGCACCAGCCATGCATATCACTATAAAGCAATGTTTACTGCAGAAACCACTGTATAAGTAGTCCTATTCTCTTTCCTAGTTTAATACTACCTACTATATTTCTTTCTATATTTCTATGGAGTCGTGGAGGCCCACTGCCCTGCCCATTTTAGTGCTTTTCGTGCTTTAACACACCCACTTTAACTCAATAATGGGCTGTTAATGAGCTGATAAGTTGGATCAGGTGTGTTGGGAGCTGAGAAAACACTAAAAAGTGCAGGGCAGTGGTCCTCCAGGACCAGAGTTGAGAAGTTGAGTGAGAGCACAGGGAGACAAGAGAGATACTGACAAAAACTTGTTGTTACTATCATTTTGGTTTAATATGAGAGCATGGGTGGTGATTCTCAAATGTCTCCTTACTCCCTACATAGCGCACTGCATGGATCCTGAAACTATGGCTTCTACACCCAAATAATGCACTAAATGTTAGGATGCCAGCTTTGTCAGCTCTGACTGAATGTAAATGGCTTTCATTCAGACATATAATGCACTGTTTGTGTGTAGGAGCTGTTATGTAATGACCTTCGTAGTGTGCACTACATAGGGAGTAGGAAACCATTTGAAATTGCGTCTGTACTTTGCCTAGCTTTGTTCTTGCAATTGTCATTGTAGCACCCATATAAGCTAAGAATGCTATTTTATACAAAGGAAAACTGCTCAGGTAGATAATATCACCTTAAGGCTCTGTGTTACTACTGATAGTGAGCCAACTGAGCAGGGAAGACAGCAAAATGCATACGTAATTACTGCTGAAGAACCATTTGTTATGCCACAAAATGCTTACATGTGTGGTCCAGATTGGGTAGTGCTGGCAGGTAAAAGTAATGTGCAGTACACATGCATGGTGCAAATAGGACAGGGGATGCAGATCGGGTAGCAACATTGCATGCTAACTGCATGTGCACATGAGGCCTAGGGTTTTAATGGCCCAGCAAAATAGCCCAAAAAGCTCAAGACAAAAGGGAAAATGTAATTTAGTGTCAAAAAGATAACCATTTTAATAAATGAAGTTCTTTCCCTCTAAAACATTCTAATTTCCTACATGGATGGAAAAAAATAGATTTGGGAAACAGTAACGCAGCCTGCAAGCACATATTGCAGCTCATTTTGCACTGCATCTTTTCACAAAGGTATACCTGATCTTGGGAGTTAAAATAGTGTTATTTTGATAAGCATTCTTTGAGCATGTTTTTGAGGCTACGTCTAGTAGCAGCTATTGAAGCCTCTGAACATCATGCTTTTGAGACAGGGAGGCATATTGATGCCTGATTAAAAGGCAGAGACAAATTCATGCAAAAGCAACTGCTCAAACTTTACTAAATTAAGAAGAATCTGCAATCAGCCACGCTTTCAATATCTCCACCCACTTTCTGCATGATCCTCCCACATTTTGTGCAATCCTCCCTCAAATGTATACACACAGGGGGAGAGAAGCGCATTCTTCATTCTTCCACGCTCACGGCTTATTTAGGCAGTGTCATACCAAACAGTCAGAGTGTGTCCAATTTGCATGGGTAGGTTTAGTACATCATGCCCTCTGTGTGTTTAGAGGGCTATTTCATGACCTTCGAGCTCTCAGTGAGAAAGTGTAAGTGCTTTCCTCTTATCATCCCGTTTTAAGGACTAGAAGATGTCATGTTGAGAACCCTTTAAATGAGTGATATCCAAACTGCCAACCGTTTAATGCTCTGAAGCACACTCTCAACTTTCGACATCATGATATGAGTCTGGAGTCTAGGGTGATTGCAAGAGCAGCGTACAAATATTCTAGTTGAAAACACTCTCCTCCATGATACAGTCCCTTAGGGTACCATAATGATATTATCACTCGTAGTTGCTGAGCATCTTCTGATAATGATAGAACTGATAAATTGGGTTGAGAAAGCATGTCTTGTAATACACTTAAGTGATTATGAATTCCCAAGGTATAAATCTCTGCAGTTATGTACTTCAGTGTTTGAAGTGTTATTTGAATAAATATTCCTCCCTCACAGAATCCCAGTAATCCTTCACGTCTGGGTGTATGTTTTTGTGTTGCGCTGCACTGTCGTCATACCACGGCTGAGGAATATTTTCAGCCTTTAATCCAGCCGGGCTGACTCATCATGTTGTGGATTAGGCATCATGAATCTTCCAGCCCAGCACAAAGCAAGTGGATATTCATCAACACAAATCCACCCTTTCTGATCATCACCTCTGCTTCTCAGTGAGAAAGTCCTGCCTGGACTGGATTTTGGAATAGTAAAGCAGATCTGGCAGAAAACACAATTTCTGAGGCTGTTGTTCTGATGACTGCAGAGGCCTTGAAATCATGGCCAGATGCTTTGAAAGCAGCTAGAAGATTGTGAATGTTACAATTTTTTTTTTTTTAAAAGTACCCATCTAGTAGCCATCTAATTCAGTAGCATTTATTTCAGACCTTATTTCCAAAAGGTGCTGTTTACAAAAACTCATTATGAATGTGCCAACAGTGTTCATGGTAAGGATATGGGAATATTGATTGTCTAATTGCACCTCCTTGCTTCTATCATTAGTCACAGCTGGCAATCCAGTGCAGTTCAATGAGAATGGAGATGCCCCGGGCCGTTATGATATCTTCCAATACCAGCTAGCTAACCAAACAGCTGAGTACAAAATCATTGGCAGCTGGACTGACAAGCTCAACCTTAACGTAAGTCCTTAACTTTTTCTGTGTCCATATCTAAGCCTAAAGCAATGATTAATGATTAAACACTGGCCTCTAAAGGCCAGTTTTCACATTGTATCAGATCTGTTCAGAGGTCATTTTGTAGTGTATTATATGTGTGCTTGTATATGATGGATAAAATATTGGTTGATGGCGTCCTAGATGTCGATGGTGCAGTGGCCAGGTGGTGTACAGCAGGTGCCCTCCTCCACCTGCAGCCAACCCTGCAAGCCAGGCTGGCGCAAGAAGATTGTGAAGGGCATCCCTTGTTGCTGGCACTGCGAGCGCTGCGACGGCTACCAGTACCAGGCCGACGCGTTCACCTGCAAGACGTGTCGCTTTAACAAGCGGCCCAACAAGAACCACACGGAATGCCTGCCAATCCCCATCATCCAGCTGGAGTGGAGCTCACCTTGGGCGGTCATACAGGTCCTCATTGCTGTCCTTGGCATAATGGCCACCTTGTTTGTGGTGGTCACCTTCATACGCTATAATGACACCCCGATCGTAAAAGCATCCGGACGGGAACTGAGTTATGTCCTGTTGACAGGCATCTTTCTGTGCTATGCCACCACTTTCCTGATGATTGCCACTCCTAGCATTGGGGTTTGTTCATTCCGTCGCATATTCCTTGGCCTTGGAATGAGTATAAGCTACGCTGCATTGCTAACCAAAACAAATCGCATTTACCGTATTTTTGAGCAGGGGCAGGTGTCAGTGAGCGCCCCGAGGTTCATCAGTCCAGCGTCCCAGTTGGTGATCACTTTTATCCTGATCTCAGTCCAGCTCGTAGGGGTGTGTATTTGGTTCGTGGTGGACCCTCCGCAAACCTTTATTGACTACGAGGATCAGCGCATGTCTAACCCTGAGCTAGCGCGGGGTGTGCTCAAGTGTGACATCTCAGACTTGTCGCTCATTTGCTTGCTGGGGTACAGCATGCTGCTGATGGTCACATGTACCATCTACGCCATAAAAACGCGCAGGGTGCCAGAAACCTTCAACGAGGCAAAGCCCATCGGCTTCACCATGTACACCACCTGCATCATCTGGCTGGCCTTCATCACTATCTTCTTCGGCACATCACAGTCACTGGAAAAGGTAAGATAAACTGGTGAAACTTGCTGGAATAACTGTATTTTTTAATCCACTCTCACCAAAGAATGCCATTAAATATTCAGGCTTTAAGCAGAAAATATCAGCAGAATAATAAAAATGAATTTGAGACCTAATAGAACCGTACAACAACAGATGTATTAAATGAGCGGGATTTTCACGCCATTTAATTATGATAAAGGCAGAATGGACTGGTGTCATTTTGCTCACCACATAAGAGTAGACTCCAGACTCTGAAAAACAAGGTTTCTTTTCTTCTCCACCTAACATTATGCCTTCAGGGAAAGAGCCTTTGCAATAGCAAAGAGATTTCTGTAGATAGAATAATTCATTGACAAGCGGTGTTCTAAAATAACAGATGTTGTTAAAGCACTGCCCATAGGAAACCCTGTAAAGCATAATTTTGTCCCCTGCTCTCACACACTCCAGTTTCCTTGCTCTGCTCTACTAATTTCAATTAGCAGGCCTCAGTCCTTCTCTTTCTGAAGCTGAAGATAACAGCTTTCTCTACCTTCTTCATTTTCAGTGTTATTTAATTAGAGTTGTCTTTAGAAGAATGAAACAAGCTACTAATAGGGAATTTTAAGCCTACTTGCATTAATGCTTGCTTAAATGTCAGAGCAGTGTTTCAGTAAATATGACTGTGACTGTGAAATTACTAAATAATACATTACTAAATAATACAATCATCAATAACACAATGGCACACGGAATAGTAAGATGGTGGCCTGCTACACTATATGTCCAAAAGTACCCAGACACCCATTCTAATTAGTGCATTTAGCTGCTTTAGGCTTACCTATTGCTGACATAGGTGTTTGGTTGTGCACACATTACTTGTATAATCTCCATAGAAAAGCACTGCCAAAAGAACAGGATGCTCTGGAGCAGCTGCACATGAGTCTAAGTTTATCATGCCCAATGCCATTTGTCGGCTAGAGGGGTATAAGCCACCCAGCACTGGGCTGTGGAACAGTGGACCTGTGTTCTCTGGTGTGATTGAGCTCCATCCAGTACCTTTGGGATGAGTTAGAGTGGCAGTTGTGATCCAGAACTCATCATCCAGCATCAGAACCTGACCTCACTAATGCTCCTGTGGCTGGATGCAATCAGATCCCCACAGCAGTGTTCCAACATTTAGTGTAAAGCCTTCCCAGAAGAGTAGAGGCTCTTACTGCAGCAAACTGCAACAAACCCCCTACTAATACCTTTGATTTCAGAAGAAACGTTAGATGAGCAGATCTCTAAAAACTTTTGGACATACAGTGTATCATGCAATAGAATGGGTATCGTGTCTCTACCTTAAGTTTCTTCATTATGCTCTGTTTGCAGCAGGGATTTGCCTTTCCTTGTCTCACTTTGAAATGGATCACCCTATACAAAAAAAAAACACCAAACCAAAAACAACAAAGAAAAACAGAGCATCATGTGACAAATTCCCACCACAACAAACAACACTTTCTGATGAGAATTAACATATCAAAACAATGCCTCACAATGGCAAACTGACAAGCTCAAAAAACACAGGGAGTCAGTCATGACATGTCTTTTTAGAGCAATTAAACGCCTCACTTCCTCCAGCTCTTGATTTACTTTATCTGTCTACCTGTTCACTCATCGCCCGTTTACTGCCAGGCGTCTTATCAGCACTCCGGCTCCCGCACTCATTTAGCTTGTGTCAAAGCGAATGTGATGAATGTCACTGGAGGCATTCGGGATCGTTTGAATGAATGCATCTGGTCCAGTCTCTATAGTTGGTGATCAGCGAGCGAAATGACTGATGGAAAGTGGAGGTTGGACCGACGTGTGTTTTGCTTGAAGAGATGTTATACAGTCTGGCAGTCAGGACTAGACGGAATGAGCATGACTCTGAGGTCCAAGTGCAAACCGTCCTACTTGCACACTGCTATTTGTATGCATTCCCACCTTAGAGAATTGCAGGTTGACAGAGTGGTGCTAAATGGTTCACTTGCTGGAGATTTTCCTCCATTGTGTGCTTGACAGAGTAATTATTGTCTGTTTGAGAGCGAGGCCAACAACTCCTATTTACATACAGGTGTGTTTCAGAGCTGGAAGAAGCTTTGAATAACATCCTAGTCTGTCTCTTGACACATGGGCAAAGGTAACCATTTTCTCTGTGGGTCTAAAACAGTCTTGTTCTGTTATACTGTGCACTTTAGTCATTATTTCTGCATTTCAATACAGCATATTTGCTAGTGTGGACTATAGAGAGGTGGACATGAAATTTGACTTGCAACTGAGTTGAATAATATACCTAATCAGGGCCACATTAATGCAGCCTGGGACCCTGGGTTAACTCTATCTTGGGGCTCCTGACACACCCCTATCAATGCAATACATTATTCACAAAAGAGAAATGTTGATTTTCAGGATGTACATAAGACTATTAAACATAATAGTAGTGAGGAATATGGCCAAAAATGTATACCATGATATAATTGACATTTCTGATGGTTTTGGTATATATGATGTGTGTGTATGTTTGTGCATATACACCAAAATAGACATATAAAACCACTTTATATGCTTAAGTAAAACCAATTTTTGTATGTCAGAAGTGGCTTACTATTGTGGGATGCCTCTTTACTTTTAAATTAGAACTATTTTTAACAACCAAAGTAAAACTGAAATATTTTTACTGTGCAAAATAGTAAATACAAAACTGAACAATATATAGATAAACACATGCAACATATTGCTTTCTAACACTAGCGCCACAGGCCCAGCAAAAGCAGTGCTAAATCATGTGTCATTTCTGCTTGTTTGAATGTTTCGTTCCACCTTAATTTTAGCAGCAGTTACATTCTGGCTCCTGTACAGGTGCCTGAATATAATTGCTGCACCATTTAAGGTGGAACGGGAATTTAAAATAAAAAACTAACTTCAGCTTCATTGATTTTCTCAAGTGATTTGTCTCATACAAGCATCCTGTACACCAGTGCCTCTGACCATTCCTTTATGTCCACTGACTCGAAACCATCTCAGATAGAATCATCTCTAGCTCAGCTGTTTGGCCAAACTGGATACCTTTGGCATGTGTTGCACTGCTTGTATGTCACAATTTTTAATTTTTAATAAATTTTGGAACATTTTTAATTAACTTGTCACAGTGCACATATTACTTTATAACAGTATTTAATGCAGAAATATTCACTGTATCTTCAGTTTATACCCTGAGTACCACAGCTAAGCTAATGCTAATTTCTGCTAGCGCTTCTATAGGAATTTCAATCTTATGTTACATTACGTTAGACATGTTACATATACATTACTTTTCAACACAGGGTTTGCCACCCTAACACAATCCTAATCCCAGTTCTGGGGACCCTCACTAGGAATATTGTGTTTTCCTTCATGTAGCACAACTGATTCAACTCTTTGAGACCTAACTTGACAATTAACAAGCTGCTTATGTGCTGGGAAACACACAAAAATGTGCAAAGCATGGGGTCCCCAGAAATGACTTTCGGAACCACTGGTTTAATGCTGCTTAGGCCAGCTCTACTGAAACACATTTGAAACATTTAAAACTTGTAACAGACAAGTGGCATGTTCTTTACTTCATTTGCACTGTATCAGTTTTAGAATGAATCCTTTTGTAAAGACTATATTATTGGAGTAGCCTGTTAGACAGTTAGCCATCTGCCTGTCTAGCTGTTCAACCTAGACCCTAGTTAAACAACACCTTGTATTTCATATATACTTTTACTTCATGTATATGTAATTTCTAAGAGCAAACATTTAATTTTACTTTCTATACATAAAAAACACAAACACACATGCATTCATGAGATCCTGCTGGTGTGGGTTTCCTCTTTTCAGTAATTCAAGCAAATGATCTGCGTTTGGAGAATCGACTAAACACAGGTTTATAATGACTTGTGTATACATAAGCTGATTCATAGATATTCATATTATTCATATTATATACAAAGGCTTATTATTCTGTAATTATATGGACTACAGTACAAACTATCTGACTTATTCTTAATAAAATGTTTAAAAAAAGTTTGGGGCCTGCAGTTCCTGATCATTTAAGGGGTTAACACATGACCTCTTGTTTAAATTTGCAAGTTAGGGTAAGCCATTTGAACATAGGCTAAAGTTGACTGAATAGCTATACTTATTATTGTAAACAAATCATAAATGTAACATTGGACAGTGCAAAACAATCTAAATGTATAGTCATTAACACATGCAAAACTATTTCTGAAAGAAAATCCATCAACAAAAGCACATTTTTCAGTTGCTGTTACTATTATTCCGTCAGTCATGCTTGCAAGGCACCTAAGTATCTTGGGTCCTGGGCTGCAACCTCTAATGTTCATTAAGTGAACACCCTGTAGCTGACACTGTCACAGCATTACATCATGGGTTTAGGAATGACAGGTCAAAGTATGCAACTTCACCTCAAGCCCAATCACTTTGTTAATTCCCATAGGAAAACTTTGATAGTCCATTTGCTTTCTGGGTTAATAATCCTTAACAAAAAAATCTTTTAAGCTTGGAATGTGAATAAGTCCCTTCGGAATATCCAGCAAGTTTAATTTTGTCCCACTCTTCACATAAAGTGAAGTATTCAAGTCACCTACTGAACCTTCCGGTTAAGTGATTGACAGAGTTACCATCTAATTTTAGTTTCCTGAATTGGAAGGGAAAGTGGAGCAGTCTGTATGCATTGAGACACTTGGGAAAGAGTCTCTGAGGACTAAACCCGTTTCAGTCCCGTGTTCCCGTTTCAGTTGTCTGCAATCCCTCATTAGACTGCAGTCGTGGTGTCTGCACATACATTGCCTCAGGCAGAGATACTGTTGTGAAGTGTGTGTTGTGCTCTGTTGTGCTGTGCACTTCAGTCATCATTTCTGGATCATAAAACTTTTTGGTCACTAGTGTGGATTTAATAAAGGTTGATCCGTTGCTCTGCTGTCACATTCTGTTTTTATTAGAATAATCATGGAATTCCG